TGAACTTCCATATTTATGTTTCTACCGGTTGGCGAATGTGGTGTTGGACGGATGACGTCAACGGGTAAGCGGACCTTCCGGTTCATAAGTACCTCCGCCGGGGACTTACCATGTGGAGCGTTAACATTTGGTGTCGCCCTGTAACTCAGCAGAAATGTCTCGATGATTTCCGGGGTGGTCCCCTCCCCTTTGAGTTTTTGGAGTGCGCGTTTGAAAGTGTCCACAAATCTTTCCACTTGGCCATTTGATTGTGGATGAAATGGTGGTGATCGCACGTGTTGTATGGCATTTTCTTGACAGAAATCGGAAAATTTAGCGGAAGTGAATGCACTGCCGTTGTCGGAAACAATGATATTTGGAACTCCGAAGTGGCTAAACACATGTTGTAGTTTTGAAATGGTAGCCTCAGCAGTAATATGGTTCATGCTGAACACTTCTGGCCATTTGCTATAAGCATCTACTAGGATGAGATATTGTTGGCCGTTGATTGGTCCCGCAAAATCAACATGAATTCGTGACCATGGAGTTTCTGGGACAGGCCATGAACATAATTCTGTTTTTCGAGGGGATTTCGCAGATAGTTGGCATTTGGAGCACTTGCGTACAAGTTCTTCTAACTGCTTATCCATGCTCGGCCAGTAGACATAACTACGTGTTAGCGCCTTCATGCGGTTAATACCGGGATGTCCAAAATGAAATTGTTTGAGGACATCACTCCGTAATTTCGGGGGCACAATTACTCGTTCTGCGAAGAGTAAACAACCGTCAACCTCGGAAAGTGAGGATCGACGTTGGTAGAACGGTTGAAGTTGTTTATCGGAACGTACTGCAGGCCAATTTGTGTGGTGAAAATGGAGTACATTTTGAAGTAACGGATCACGAGGAGTGGCGTCGCGAACCATGGGGGAAGTAACTGGGAGTGCACGAATTGTAGTAGCAAGCACTGCGTTAACTTCTGGTTCCACCGTTATCGAGGCAACAACAGCATCCTCGGGTTGTTGACGTTGAGAATCCACGAGTCTTGATAATGCATTAGCTTGGCCAATAGCATCAGTAGACTGGTGCTTGATGGAGAAGTCATAGCCCAAAAGCATTGTAGCCCAACGTTGCAAACGGTTGGCTGTGTAAACAGGAATGCCTTTCTTGGATCCGAAAACGGCGAGAAGGGGCTTATGGTCAGTGATGAGCGTGAACTGACGTCCATAGTGCATTTTGTGGAACTTCTTGATGGCGAAGATTATTGCTAAAGCTTCTTTTTCAATTTGACCATAATTGCGCTCGGTAACTGTTAGGGATCTAGCTGCGTGGGCAATTGCTTTTTCGTTTCCGTCGGGGAAAACGTGAGAGATGACAGCTCCAATACCATAGTTGGATGCGTCTGAAACAACAGTAATGTCCAGGGCTGGATTGTAATGTGTGAGTAGTAGATCAGAGCTGAGAAATGACTTTACTTTGTCAAAAGCGGACTGGCACTGATGTGACCAGTTCCAAGGCACATCCTTTTTTAGAAGATGATTAAGTGGTTCACGGACACGGTGCATGTCTGGCAAAAATGAACTGTAATGGCTTACTAAACCGAGAAAGGAGCGCAAGGTTGCTAAATTCGTCGGTGCTGACATTTGTTGTATGGCAGAAATATTTTCTGGGTCTGGATGACGACCATGTTCGTCAAAAATAAATCCAAGATATTTGATAGAAGTGAGAAAAAATGCGCACTTCTCTGCACGTAGACGAAAACCATATTGTTGAATCCGTTCGAGTACGCAATGTAAACGATGCAGAAGTTCTTCTTGACTAGAACCTGTAAGAATGATGTCATCCAAATAAGCAGCAACTCCTGATAGACCGTTTAGCATGGCATCCATTGTTTGTTGAAATATTGCTGGTGCAGATTTTACCCCAAATGGCAAACGGTTAAATTGAAACAAACCGCGATGTGTGTTAATTGTCAGAAGTTCTTTGGAGTCATCAGAGACTTCTATCTGAAGGTAAGCATCAGCAAGATCCAGTTTTGCGAAACATCTTCCACCATTGAGCTTGGTGAACAAATCTTCTGGTACCGGCAATGGATATTGGTGAGAGTCTAACACGGCGTTTAATCCAGTGGAATAATCAGCACATATGCGCACCTTGCCATTTGCTTTTTTGATGACAACAATGGGAGCTGCCCATGATGAATGGTTTACTGGCTGGATAACTCCGGATTGCTGGAGACGAACAAGTTCATTCTCCACAGTTGCGAGAGCAGCAAATGGCACGGGACGCTTCGGTCTGAAAATTGGTGTGGAAGCAGGTTGGAGTTTGAGGCTTGCCTTGGTTTTGGTACAGCATCCAAGGCCACTTTGGAAGACATCGTTGAATTTTGTCTTCAGTGTGTTAGTAAAGTGTTCTGCAATGTCTGAGGAGGATGAAAATTTCAGAGTACTGCACACAGATGATAAAGGTACACGGAAAAGGTCAAGTTTCTCGATCCAATCGAGTCCGAGTATGTTTAATTTCGGACAATCGGTGAGATAGCACGTTCCTGAGAAGTGCACATTGTTGAATAACACATCACAAGACAACTTGCCTGTTAGTTTTAAAGTGCTGCCAGAGGCGCTTTTGGCCCGATGGTTCGTGGAGGATAAAACAGGTTTCCCAATTGATTCCCAAACTGAACGTGATATTAATGTAATATCCGAAGCTGTGTCAAGCTGCAAACGGATCGGGAAATTGTTGATGGAAACTGTTATGTATTTCCTGCGGGATTCAAATTCAACTTGAAACGTAGCAAACAGAGAATTGGATTGTATTCGTTGCTTGTACGTCCGCCTTTTGATTGAGTCTTTCATCGGACTGTTATCGTTCTTTGGGTTTAATGGTGATTTGGCATTGTGGGTACGGCAAAAGCCTTCTTTATGGCCCCAACGATGGCATGCTTGGCACTGATGTTTCTTGAATGGACAAAAACGTGCATAATGCCATTCACCACATGACCAACATGATGTTGGTGGCTTTTTTCCAGGAGTGACAGCGGTTCGCTTCAATGTCATGACGCTGCTGGAAATAGGCGATCGCGACTTTTGCTGTACCATTGCGGTATCATGTTTGAGATTGCGCAAGCGCTGGCATTCTGTGGTGAGGTCTTTCACAGTAATGTCTTTTTCGTGCTCAAGTTTGGATAGCAATCGCGTGCGAATATCTGATTCCTGAGAAGATTGAAGTCCAGCGACAAAAATAAGGCATTTGAACTGATCTTCTGTAAGCGATTGCAGTTGGAATTTCTCACATTCGCGATTAACGATACCGGCAAAAGTAACGTAATCGTCGGCCTCACGCTTGGCCAACTTGAGACAGTTGTATCGGACATTAAAAAGTGAATGTTGGTCACCAAAAATTTCGCGAAGTTGTTCCGCCGTCTGCGCGAAAGTCAAATCTTTTGAGTGTTGTGGAAGGATAAAGTTGGTGAACCGGTCATGTTCGAGGGTTCCAAGTTTCCGTACCAAGAGACGGGATTTCCACGCATCATCTTTGCCGGTGAACTCATTCAAGAATGTATCCTCCCAACGGCTGTACCACGAATCAAAGGTGAGGCCAGATGCTGGCTCATAGTGAAATTCAGTTATAGTTGCAGCACTGGAATCCGCAAAGGATAGCGAACTACCACTTTGAGATGAAACTGAAGTTTGGAGATTGATGACTTAAGTGAGAGACTGGATAAGTCGCAATTGAGATGGTTCAAATTGCGCTTGTTGTTGTTGAAGGATTGATTTCAAATCCTCAGCTGAAATTGACATTCTTGGGTTCGTGAAGGGTTCCCGTCGCCAGTGTTATGTTCTCTACTAATCAGTCGATCAACCTTGTCAGTTACACACGAAATTGAGAAGACAAAAAGCCTTGAGGAAATTATACTGCGGCAACTGAACAGCCAATATCGAGATTAGAAGAATCAGGAATGGAATGGAACAAACAGTCCAATGAAAGGCTGAAATATAGGGAGATAAATGTGAGCAATATGTTCGTAGGAGGAGTGCCTCCTAACAGACGTAATCAATGCTTTGGAGGCATCGATATTCAACTACTGACATCTTCTGTATGTCTTCTGCGCGTAGAGGCCACGTGTCTGGTCCATAAGTCAGTTTGCGTCGCACAACCACAGCGTAAACTCTACCATTCATACACAAACCGATGTCACGTCGACCCCATAGGTGTCGGATGTTGGTGAAAGCTGCTCTGGCCTTCCCGATTCGAGAGGTAATTCCATCTCCAGCCAGTCTGCCGGTACGTATGCAGCTGCCCATGTAATCATATTTATCTACTACGTCGATTAGCTCGTCTGCAAGCACAAGGTTTAGGTTTGACCCCACCCAGTATCGTAGCAGCTTTTTACACTTTGCAGGGATGAGGTGCTTGCCGAACCGTAGGGAAGAGTTATTTAGGTTATTTAAACTCGCTTGCATTTTGGAAGGATGGGGTGAGATGGCTCACTGGTTAGAGCGTGAATTTACTGACCTGAAGGTCCGTGGTTCGAACCTGACCTCCATTCCTCGACTCCCCCTGTCTAGGCTCGGGCAACGTGGCAGTATCCCAGCCTTCGTGCTTCCTTTGGGTGGAATGGCAGTTAGGCACCGAAAGGGTGCTACAGCTGAACAATATTACTATTATTGGGGGAATAATCTGAACCAAAAAGAGCAGTATCATTCGCATACTCAATGTGTGTGAGCGAACGTCCCGGGAGCACTTGAACTCCTGAGGTTTCGGATGCAGGCAGGGAAATTTCAAGCAGCACATTAATAACAAAGTTGAAGAAGAGAAGTTGGAGAGGCAGCTTTGTCTTACACTACTGGACGTGGTGAACTCAGGCGAGAGCTTCCCGTATTTTCGTGTGAGCCCACAGGAGTTCGAATACAGTGCCCTCATAAGGGATATAAACTTGGAAGGAACACCTTTGATCGCCGCACACTGCCAAAGTTTCCGACGATCAGCAGAATCAAAAGCGGCTTTCATACTAAGAAAAACGATCAACGTGGGACGTCTGAAGGAGTGGCGCTGGTCAAGAATTTGTTTAAAAATCGTTCAGCTGTAGCACTCTTTCGGTGCCTAACTACCATGGCACCCGGAGGAGGCATGAGGATTGGGATAATGCCAAGTTGCCCAAGCGGGGAAGTCGAAAGGCAGAGGTCGGGTCCGAACCACGGACCTTCCGGTAAGTAAATTCGCGCTCTAATCACTGAGCCATCTCGCAATAGATGTTCCAACCTGAAGGACCAAGGACTGTCAAGCCTTTGACCCACTGACCAATCTAGTTTGAGAGATTCTATGTCGCAACTAAGTTTCACGATATAGCCAAACGGGTTGTGAGGGTGCACAAGCCGCCATACTAGGGTGACGTGCAGTGTTTTCATGGCGGAATGGTTATTCAGAGATGACGAATGGCCTGCGAACCACCATGTGCTGCCCTGTTTTTGTGCATGTTAAGGTCCAAAAGAATCGCAAGACAAGCGGGATTGGGGGCTTTTCTCTTTGAAAAATTCTACGCGCATCTGTTAATCATTAAGGGAAATGGATTTAGCTATCTAACCGCATGGTATTTCATGTTGAGGTTGCCGTGGAAGTTCTTAGCTTGGGAAGACAAGTCTAGTCAGGTATTCAGCACTGGTTACCCTAAAGCGACATTGTGACCAGGACAGTGGAATAGATATAGTGTCTGAAAGTACCGAGAATTTATTGCTTTTATTTAACACGAAGAATGCCCTTTCAGGCGCATCATTAATGGCATCCAGCTTAACAATAAAATAACCCGCTCAATTAACCTACCTACATCATCCCTGCAAATGTCATCGAGATAACCCAATGGTTGGGGCGTAGATCCATTGACTGGAAGGTCTCTGGTTGAAACCCAACTCGATTTCCACCTCTTCTATCGTGATCATATATAGACTGACGTATTTCCTTTGAATTTCACGACAGCTATACACCGAAAGGATGGGCAGTCCAAAGAGTATTGCTTTTTTCCAAGCGCTTTACTAAATTCACGGCGACTGACGCCAACTTGAGTAGTTTGTTATGGTGGTTAACGTAGACTTGTTCCTCTCTGATTGTTTATTCCTTCATTGATCTTCACCAGCGTGCCATTGTCCTCAAGAGCTGATTACTCATTATCCTCCGGAAAACGCCGTACTTCAATCGTTGGCTCGGTCAATGGGAATTATTCTTGATTTTCACGATTGTTTGCTTCGTGACGAGGACCTAGTGACCCTTAACGAAGGGGAGTGGGTCAATGATAATATCATTCAGTTCGCTATGGAATATTTGAGGCGTACTTTATTGGCTACTGTTGATAACGTTTTGCTTGTTGATCCTGCGGTCACTCAAATTGTGAAGTTGGCTGATGCGCGCTCTGTCGCAATGGTTTTGGATTCCTTGAACTGCAAGCACATTGATTGGATTTTTTACGCAATAAACGACTCCTTATCTACTACGAGTTCGGGTGGTACTCACTGGTCCTTATTAGTAATGTCCCCAACGCATGAAAAGTCATACCATTTAGACTCACTACCATCCGAAGGAAACTATGGTTGTGCGTTGAAGATAGCTGACGCAATGGCAGAACACTGTGACAGAAGTGGTCTGAGAACAGTATTGCAGACGAATGTAGCAAAACAAAGAAATAGTTGGGATTGTGGCTTATATGTTATTGTGTTTTTGGAAATCCTCTGCAAGAACTTGTTCGAAACGAAGGGATCAGCACTCATGCTGGATAGCGTGGCCTCAGAATCTGTCAGCAGCTCGGTTCTTTCCAAGCGTTCTGTACTGAAGAAGCTCATTGCAAAGCTTTCTAGCGCGGACAATTAACTACGATTTTTATATTTGAAACTCCCAGAATAAATGGTTTTCAGAATCACCTCTACTTTTTACTCCTGTACCCTGGTTTTGTGTTGCATTCCTGTTGTTTTGTATGTCACTGGTTTCTTATAAGATGTGAAATGTTATTAACCTCACCATTGTAGATAAAATTCGGGTTCGTTTTTCATCTGATAGACAAGCGCACACTAATTGCCACAGGACTCTGCGATCCACACCTGGCAACCTTCCTCAGTGTGCAAAGACCACCAGCATCGACCACCATTATTCTGTTAGTGTAATTATCATATTTCCGGCACCGTGTACAATTTGCCGATAAGCTATGCTTCTCTGTATAATGGCAAAGAACAATGTACGTCGCACCCCATACATGCGTTTCAGTGTTCTGGAGGAGTCGACATATGCGCTCGATAGGAGTTCAGGTGAAAGTCACTACTGCATACCTTACCACATGTCTGTATGCGAACAAATGCGCTAAGCTTGACTGCTGCTCCATAAACTCATTCACAACGATGCTCAAATTTTGATGCCACTGCCTTTGGTAGTTAATCCAGTCGGGTCTCAAACCGGCACAAGTTTTCGGAGTTGTTTACGCTATCCGCGTTGATCGTCGTTCACACCCAGACTGTATAGAAGAATTGACACTAAACGTATGGCTCACTAGCTAGGCAGCTCCACTCGATCAGTTGGGTAAGAGTACCAGGGAAGTGCAGCAGTGAGTAGTAGTAGTAGTGTAGAATCCTGACGGGGGGGGGGAATGAGAGGATTCAGTGGTTAGAGTGCAAATTCACTGACCAGAAGGTCCGCTGTTCGACCCCGACCTCTGCATATCGACTTCTCGTGTCTGGGCTTGGGCAACCTGGCGGTATCCCAGTTCCCATGCTTCCTTCGGGTGGCATGGTAGCTAGACACCGAAAGGTGTTACAGCTGAACGATTGTTATTATTATTGTTAATCTTGAGTAATCGATGTACAAGCGCTCTATAGGCTCTGAGTTCATGAGAAACCGAAATAGGGAACGAGATCATTCAAGCCAATCCGAATACCTTCCTTTTGATGGAATGAGGACTACTCGTCTGACTCGTCTATTTCGCGCAAAAAGTAGACAGATCCGACTGTATATAACGTCTTCCTAAAGCGCGACTTGTTTGACGCAACAGTTGGAGGGCAAGTCATGCTACTTCTAACGTTCACAAGCATTGTTGGCTGTAAGTAATTGTGCCCGGGTCGGTGCATACTAGCGAACTTGGCTGTTGATCGGGTGGCGATCGATCTACTCGCCGAGGCTGACAATTAGCTGGCGAACGTTTCTTGGCCATAATGAGAGACATCGTCATTGCGCGAACTGGCCTATGTTCAATTGTGAAGGAGGGTGTAAAAAGCGAACTCGTCGATACACAGATCAGTGAGGAGTTCCGAGGAAAAACGTTCACATAGGCTATATTCTACCGAGCCTTTCGCGATTAATAATTATCTGGCGGCTTTAGCGATGGATAAACAATAGCTTAAACGCGTCTCGCTGTATCTTTTTGATTTCGCGGTCGTTCAGAAGTTCCTTACATACCTTTATCATTTAGTGCTGTTCGTTTCAGTTCAGAATGGGTGATACTCCAGTGACCCGGCATCCCTTTGTAAAATGGGGTCAAAACGAGACCCATGTGTTCTTATCCGTTCAACTTGGAGATGCAGAAGTGAGTTTTATCTGTAATCATCGGCTGACTTATGTAGGATGTGGCGGTGGATATCACTGATGAGTCGCTGACATTCGCAGCCGTCGGCAATGGTGCACACGGGCGCGAGCAGTACCGTTTTCGGCTAGATTATTATCTGCCCATAGTTGCCAAAGTGAGTTGGAAGTTGCATGTGGTGTGTTTCCCATATCTGAAGCACAGTAAAATGATGGCTGTAATTCAATTCCAGGAACTATAGGTAAACGCCATTTAACAGTTGTGCTTCAGTGTTAATTGTCAAGTACAGCGGGAACCATGGGCACTGTCAGTTACCCTCCCGTTCTTGTCAGCCTGAAGCATAACACCTGCTATGATTTACTACAACAATATGTTTTATCTCTGAAGAGTGACGCGTGTGGGCGCAAACTTGAATGGCTATCTTGTCTTCCGTGCTTGCAACCGTAAAACACCAGAACTTTGTAAGTAACTAAAGACGGTTAGTTTTCATCATTTGCCAACCTCCGGGAGACACACATTCGAACAAAAGCAAATGCATGTTGCAAGACTAGGCCTCCACCTGGCTTACTGACCGAATGGACTCTTTTTTCAAATGGGCGTCGAGTCAACTAAGCAATGAATAGGCCAGAATTGAAGAAAATCAGTATTCTCAAACGGCACTTATCATCTCTTCTTGTATCTATTAATGTAGTCAACAGAAAATCGACACCTGCATTTTCTCAGCTCTTCTGTTTCCTGCAGTTCACATGACAGGTAGGGCTGACAATGCCCAGTATTATCCTATTGGTACTAATCATCACGGAGTGGCTGGCCAAAATCTGGACAGGCACTTGTCCAATGCTCAGTCTAAACATGATCATCTGTCTCGTCATATAATCCAGCGCTTAGTACGAATGTCTGAGCTTGTCTCAACTAGCTCTGTACTGTTTTCAGGACAAGCATACAATACGAAGAGCCCCGGCAGCCACAAACCAGATGATCTCATGACTGGTGGCTCAGGTAACTCTAATTGCCAAGTCAGTGATGGATGTTTCTGCGTCTCCAAGATACCATGCTACGCATGAAGACCCTTGCGGACGAATTCTATAAAGTTATTTAACTTCTTAAACCTCAAACACCTCCCATATAGTACTATGTAAGAGAATTCATAGTTCTTATTACTTAAGCAGTTCGATTATATTTGGAAGAGGTCTTAATTTCCTGGAAATATACAACTTCATTAAACTCTCCCATGATCCAGCAGATCACTATGCCTGAGCGAGTCGTTATTGGTTTCTGATTCCAGTTATTCTACTATCTTACTCATTTTAGGGACCGGTTACCCATAGGAATGAACTTTTAACTGTGCTTTGTTTCTTAATGTTTTTTTTTTCATTTTTGTAGCAAAGTCGATACACGGTTACCGGACGAGCTATCCTGATCAGACTACGCAAGGAATTGAAGGATGCCTGGCCCAGGTTAACAATTCAGTCTGAAAAACTTCCATGGGCACACCTGGACTTTGATTTGTACCAGTTCGATGCATCGGACGAAGAACCCCCTGGTGATGAGACGGAGGGCAACGTCAAGGTCAAAGTTATTCGCCCAACAAAGGAGGAAAGGGCAAGTTGATAGGCTAACTACGGTTTTGTCCAAAATTGTGCAGATATTTTTCCTGAGGCGAACGGTGTACTGTCAGGATCATGCACTAGGACGCATCCATCATCTTTTTCCTGTGCGACGTTTTTGTCGGATAGTTTATCCCTTCACTTCAATTCAAGCGCAGATTGTTTGGTTAGTCACATGTATCCACATCATAGTGTTTGAACCCGCATATCAAATGGTCCATTCTGAGTGCCAAAACATAGTCTCCGTATGCTTGTCGGAATCTGTACTCTTCTTTTATAGGACTTTTATCCTTAAAAAGTGTCTTTCACATGGACTGAATGGATTCCACCTTTTTGGATACTGTTGCTTTGATCGGGATGCCCCTTTTCTTCGCTGTTTTTCGCTATTACAACAAAGCCATCCATGTTTATTGACAGAGGAAGCCCGGAGGGTAGGGACACCTACTGTCGATCTGTTGGCGGCCACGTTGATGAGCCAGTTGCAAAACCTGAGTGCCCTTTGTCACCACTCTTCGTTGTGTGACTTGTCAAGTGGCAATCTTCGTGGCGATTTACACCTGCCTAAGGCTCTTGAGGTTTTTCTTTGGCTCCCATCTTGTGACAGTTTCGCCGGAAAAAACCTGCTTTGAAATCTGGTGAACTGTCTCGTTCAGTTGGTGACGGCTTTTGTGACCCTATAGGTGCTCTTTCACAACGAGATAAGTACTCGGATATCGTTGTGGTCGCGGTTGGCATGAGCGTTCAAGTAGGTAAGCTTGACACTGCTGTGTTTCCATCGGGTCATTATCATCACCATGGACAGCACGACTGATACTCCGCTGCCGTGCAATCGTGATTTATTCGGTAGCCTCGTTGTGAAGAAAAGAATAAAGGTAAACAGGGGGAATTTAGTGCTACCCTCATACAACCATTCCGAGTTGCCTACGCTTCCAGACACTCACCCACATAGTTTGGATAGAAAATGACAACAATAACGCAATCGATGTAGATTAGCAGCCATATTTTGCAGCGCATATCCAGGCGCAGTGTGGATCACGCGGTCTCTATCCTTGAAAGCGAGTTGCACCGACAGCACCAGACGTTTCGCAATCTCTTATGCCCCTCTTCCAGCTCAAGGGTTGGCCACCTCTCCATCTCCACCACTCTGAACTGGGCACGGAAAACAGCACTGTTTTCGGCAGATGATGGTTCGGCATACGTACAACATGGCCTAACCAACTCAGCTCCCTGTACTGGACGCATTATTCAATGGAAGTTCCCGTCACAATTGAAAACTCACATTCCGATTGCCTTATTACGGATTCTCCGGCATCAACCCGCACGAGCTATGGTCCTGGGACAACTTTGTCCAACACCCAAAGACGTGTCAGTTCCACTGCTCGAACAGCCAAACCTCACAGCCATACAACAAGGCATTCCGCACCGTAGCCTGATACACGGCTTTGACGCCATATGTGTATCAAATTAGCACACGCGACCCGATCCTTGCAGATTTGTGCATTGGCCTTATCTGTCACACTACAGTCAGAACTAATACAACCTCCAAGGTACGTAGGACGCTTCCTAATTTCAAGTGCCTACCCCTTGATTGTTAGTGACGTGGTCAGTTACTGGATTACCTTACACTCTGCGGGTACAAAATGCATACTACAGAACTGGATGACATTCGTCAGTTCATCCAAAAACACTTGCATCTTGTTTATCTCTTTGAAGATGAGAATGATGTCGTCTGCATATTCCAGATCAACGAAGTTTTCTTCAGAGGCTATTTGAACACCGGGGTTTTGAAGATTCTAGCGTTCGTTTCATTATCTCATTGATCACGAAATTAAATGGGTATGGAGACAGTAAGCACTCCTGCCGAACACCTTTTTGTGTACGGAAGCTTTTAGAGAGCTCTCCGTATACCCTCACGTCCAGAAGTTCGAAAATACAAAGAACTTCTTATGTTCACAAATATATGAGTTGTTCCGTGATGGAAAAGCATGTCAAGGAGAACAGACCGGTCGACCGAGTCGAATACGTCTTGGAAATCCAGTGATGCTAAAATTATGGGTTATATGTATGTATGACGTTGTTTTAGCACCTGACGGAGTGTGAAGAGTTGGTCGACGCAACACCTACCCGCAGGAATCCCGTTTGGGGCTCTCGAGTTAGTGTTTCACGAGCCGCCATAAGGTGATGACACCAACAGTGTCGTTACGACTGGGAGCAAGCTGATCCCCCTGTGGTTACCACACTCATCACAAGCCCGTGTTTTGAAAACGGGCACTATAACCAACTGTTCACAGTTGTCTGGGACAGTCTCCTTTTCCCAAATGCAGACAAACAGATCAGACAGGTGCTGACTGAGGACTTCATCCCCATTTTTGAACAATGCGAGTTAGAGGTCACCCATACCAAAAGTTCGGTGACGCTTGAGAGATCATAGGCACTCGTAAACATCCGAGACCATAGGGGACTCTACGTTCACCGTCCAGGGTTCTACGTCAGCTGTAAGCTCCAGATGAATGCCAGCTGGCCGCCACAGTAGCTGTTTTTCGAAATATTCGGCCTTTCGGTCGAGGCGTTCATTTTATTTAAATTTAGTCGCTCCATTTCGATCCTTGGTGATTTCGCTCACAGATAATTTCTGGGAACAGCTGTAACACTTTTTCGGTGCCTACCTGCCATGCCACCCGAACGAAGCACGAGGCTAGGATACTGCTAGGTTACCCAAGCCTAAACAGAAGTCGAGAGGCAGAGGTTGGGTCCGAACCACGGACATTTTAGTGAGTAAATTTTCGCTCTAATCACTGAGTCGTCTCGGGGGAGGTGTCAGCAGTAGCCTATTTTTGCTTATCCGTCCAGCTGTATGCAGCAATTAAAGCGATCCGGATGGGCACCACGCGATAGCCGATGTGGCATGAGTTTATTTGCATATGTGCAATTCATGTTTGTACGTGGACTGAGATACTGTCAGGGCACCCACACCTGCAACAATTAGCAGTGCTATAATTCAATTGCTATGTGCCTTTCCTTTTGGACTACATGTGCACCTGTCGACATCTATTTCCCTTGAATTTGTCGAGTCTCCTCAAAATTTGTACATCCTGTCGGGACACTGATGAGCTCAGTAATCCTTAAGTCGAGCAGGCTAACGACTAATTTTTTCCGGTGCCTGCCAGTGGATCCGATTTCGCACGCCAGGTGTCATTGGAATGATATCTCCGAGACCATACATGATACTGGTGCTTCTGTCTGTTGTACGTTCAATCTTGAAGTAAGACGATGACCTTGCTCGCGCCTCAGCCCAACTGGGCGCACTAGCGGACACTATATGTACTGAAGGTATATACAAACTGAGTATCCTGGGTGGTCCAAGCAACTGAATAAATGGTCGGAGATGAATGTAGAAAATGTCCGGAAGCTTTTTTAGCCGATCAACACAACGAGTCTTCAGAAGCTCATTGAAGCCATCAAAGGTCAAAATGATCCCTTAATCCCTAGAAAATTGAACGACTGGACCGCTGAGGTGAATATCTTGGGCAACAGTTCGGTTGGCTGTAGGATAATTTCCGACCGAACTAACTGCCTGTCACAGAAATGGGAAGTACGATTTCGGAATCTCTGAATTGTTTGCATATCTCTCTCTCTCGAAGAAATAGACCACTCCTGTCAACAGGTGTGATACGAGATTAGTATGCCTTAAGAGATCCTCCAGTGGTTCTTCTATCCACAAGCAGTCAAACACACGTCGTAATAAGAGTACGAGTCTTATCGATCCTTCGGCGGCGCGCAGAACCTTGATCTTCTTGCCTAGTCAGAACCTTCTTCGGTCACGTATTCGCACTCTGTTAGCTATTGGAGCAGTATCATATGTAAGGGCAATTCACAGTCCCGGTGCGCCTTGATTTCAAGGTTACATTTGAGTCAGTTGGTGGATTAATTTGCATAATTTAAGGTATGTGAAGTAGTGTGATGTTTTTTCACCCTTCCTCCTTCCGGCGCCGTTCTGGCAGCTTTAGAACATCAGATCACCTTTTTGTTGATAGAACTATAATGCCTGCCCATCAAACCGTGCCTTGTTCTGTTTAGGAGCAGATCAACTGTGTTCTCCTAACCTATCTTCTCTCTTCCTCGCTGACTGACAGGAGTTACACAATGCTGAAATGAGAGCAATTGAAATGGAGGAAGAGTGGGAAGCGTTTCTGAAAGGTTGGTTGGTCATTTGTATCCTGCAATACTACTTACTAAGTCGTACGCTTTGATACGGCCTCTACTGTCTCGTGCATTATCATTAAGTTTCAAATGCATCATCATTTATGTCGAATTCTTATCTAAAGTATGCTTGTTGACGATCTTCTGGTATGTTTGAGTAATGTTTGAAGCACGGAAGTATTTTCATGATATTGCGTGTTTTCACTTTCACGTTCACACGCTGCACTACTATTTGTCCATCGACTAGTTCTCCTCATGAGTATCAATGATCTTTCGGATTGATAAAAATTTTTTGACCCTAATGGAGGGATCTTTAAGGGCTTCGCTGTCCTAGGCACTAATTTTCGTGCCTCAAAACATAAAACGCACCCCGTTTTTCAACGGTCCTTTTCAGTGCTCAAACACCCACTGACGATCTATCTGTTATTGTTCAATTTGTTCCAATTCGCTGGATTCTTGAGCGTGTTCGGATCTTTGCTCCTTGTTCTCCTCAAAATCGAAGGCTATGTCCCGCGAGATTGGTTTGAAAGTTCGGTCAGCCGTCTTGCTGTGGTTCAGTTGCTAGCCTTTTTGGAGCCTTTGCACGTTTGCCTGCGTTGGGTACGCGGGGGACTTTTGGCGTCCTTGCTACAGGTTCGTTGATTGGCTATACTGCTTGCTTTCCTAAAGTGATACCGTTGTTAACGTCTGTGAAGATTGTTTTAGTCACGTTTATTTATTGAGTTCCCCAGTGAATTCTATCGATCGATCACAGGCTGGTAGTTTGCACCTTTCGATGAAGTAGGATAATATGGGGAGATTTCATCGTTTACATTTTGAAGGTCGCGGCAGTGATTATGAGTGTATGGAAGGAAAACGTCGTTCACTGACAATCCAAGGCTGCTGCTTTTCACACTGAGTGATTTTGATTGTCGTGCAAACCAATCGCCCTAATTTTACTCTGGATCGGTAATCATGTCGGCCGTCTTGTGAGGCTGATAGTCTTGGTTGAAATGGGACTGGGGAGACACGGAATTGTTGATGCGGCCCTCAGCGAAACACGGTTGGCTAACTTAGGAAGTCTTTGTGATGCTAGCTCTGGATAGAAATTAAACTGGATCATTTGAAGACAATAGTCGGCTTATAAAACAGCTAGCTAAAAAGAACGAAGTGCTTGTCGAATCTCTTTCCTATTGGAACAACGAGGTCAAGAACTAGCAGCTAAAGGATGTTGGAAATGACCTGACTTGGCAACTCAACCGCATAACTCGGGAAAATGAAGTTAGCCGTTCGATGAGTTTGCTGCTCGGCGGCAACAGTTTTAAGACCGGTTGAAAATCATCTAAGGCCGAACATCAAACCGACCCAAACTCTCCAGGATGCTGACGCGTGACTGAAAGGGACCTCACCTGCAGAAATAGGGGATCTCTAGCACACCAACAAACTATTGAACAGACGAGTGACCACTGGACTGCCTCGTCTAGGGTTGAAACTGCCCATGGATCTTACTCTAACTGTCGAAGAGACATGGCAGGCGAAAATGCGATTGCAGAATAGCAAGGCAGCTGGTGAAGTATTGCTTGCAGCAGAACTATCCACGTTTGGTAGTCCGACTCTAGAGAATGCATTTCTACAATTGATGAAGTGGAGTTCCACCGGAATTTGAAGGCACTGTGCAAAGGGAATGGAACCAAGACTTCACGTGTTTACTGCAGATTCAGTCCGATGAACTGCGCGGGAAAGCTTCTGGTACGGGCGGTGTTCTATCGCCTGATGGCTGAAATGATCGAAGCACACCTGACCGGTTATTTGCGTTAAGACAGTTTCAACGAAAGTTCCGTTCGCCAGTCGATCTGTGCCCTCTTTATAGACTTCATAAAGGCCTTCGACTCCGTCAAGTGAGAAGTATTATTAGCAGTCCTTTCCAAATACGGTTGCCCGTCAAAATTCATCAACCTCATTCGAAGCCTATATGACAACGAATGCGAAGACGAAGGTCGACTTTAGAGAAATTCGAAATCCTCATTGGACTAAGGCCGGAGTGCTTCCTCGTCCCCGCTCTCTTCAGTCTCCATCTAAAAACTTATGGGATTGCAGCTTTCATGAACGACGATGCTGGTGTACAGTTCAAACGCCGGCCTGAAGGACGTCCCCTTAATAATAAACGTTTTAGTGTGATAAATTTAGGCCCACCAGACCAAGATCCACATTTTCACGTTCGCGGACTGTGTTGTTCGCATATACACATGATGAACTGCAGCGGTTAGCTGGGAAGTTTCCAACTAGTGTCATGCAGTTTGGCCTTAACATAAACATGAAGCAGACGTTCTGCATCGACCTGCATCAGATAGTGTCCCCAACACCCTGCGCATCAGGACTGGAAGAATTCGTAGATCTCTGCACGAACTTCTGCTGCCTCTACTGATTTGGCCGTCGACCGCTAACAGGGACTCTGTATTTCCAAGGCAAGCCTGGATTTTGTCAAAATCGATAATCGAGTGTGGAGGTTCCTGCGAATTGATATCTAGTTGCACGTCTACAAGGCGAATGTTCTATCTTACCTCTTGTACAGCACTGAAATACTGTACTGTG